ATATGAACTGGGGACTCATTTAGCAAAGGCAAGATCGTAGTCTGTCCAGCTAGGTTTGCTAGCAGGCAAGGGGAACTAAATCACCTCAGCTTTGCTTTGTCAAATAGAAGTTCTGTGACATCTTTCTCTTCCTGGGAATACAAACTGAAATGTTCTAAACATTCTATTTATGGCAGGGACATGTTCTGTAAACATGACTGGTCTCTTTTTAATCAGAAACGAAATGCCTGTGTAGCAGGAATAGGCAACCCAGTGCCCTATGTATATTTTGGAGGTAAACTTCCATTAAACTTCAGTGCAACATGGACAGTGTGCCTATTGTAATACCAAACTATCTACTGTCAAATAATAGAAATGTTGATATATCACCTATCAGTAATTAATTGCTGCAAGTTGGTTTCTATCAAAGGAACAAGCTATCAGTTGCTCTTTGGGAGAGCCCATCACAAATTTTTAACCTGAATCAACTTACTTTGATTTGAGAAAATGGTAGAAAACTGGATTATTGTACCCATTATGTCCTGCGGGTTAATTGTATCATCTATCCATTCCTCTGCCTTAGTGTATTAAGGATAAATATAGTTGTTGAACTCTAATTTGTGCAGTGGGAGGAGAATTGGTAATCAAGGTTTATCTTGGAAATGTATTGTCATCTTGAAAATAACTAAGCAAAATGTCTAATTTAATTGTTGAACTTCGCCCAGAGATGTTGCTAGGCATACTGAAAGGTACGCGCAATTTTTAAAATACATTTTGCTATTACAGATAGCTACTTTAAAAGCATGGCCATTTGCTTCAGAGGAAGAAAATAAACAGTACCCATCATCCTGATGAATATTTTCCTATTCCTCTAACGTTTCTGTTTGTTTCATTTCCTCTGTTCTAAATTCTTGGTCTTGAAACTAAGCATTGTGCATTCTTTTTCACAGTTTCTCTCAAGAAAGCCTGCATTATATGTATTTTCTTGAAAGCCATATTGATGTCTAAAGCATTGCTGATATTTTATGGTATATTATTATGAAAATTACTTCAAAATTACTGTTGCACATCAGAAGAGTTCTCCATTGCAATATCAGCTTCCAGCCAGTTTCTGTAACATAAATCCAGGGGAGCAATCATTGCCATCCGTTGTTTTTCCAGAAGAAAATCCTTCCAAATTAAATCTACAGTTATGGGTGGCAGGAAATACACATGATTTATATGCTGATACTTAAAGAACAACAACAACAACAACTTTCCTTTTGAAACATCTGTCTGAGGTTTATTTGGGCTCAGTTTCCCACATAAATAATAGAACAAATGACCAATAGTGAAGTTAGAGATTATTTAAAATAAGCACAGCTGCTGAAGAAAATGTTCATAGCTGTGGGAAAATGTTTAATAATTAAAGGCCTTTTGGCTAAGCCAGAGGTCATTGCAGTGGGAGATTTCATTAACTTCTCACTGCTGATTAACTGTTTTGCTGTATGCTAGGCATGGCACTACCCATCTTTCTTGTAATGAGATGTTTTCAAGCTGTGAATGAGCCCCATTGAAAAGATATAACGCTGTGTCCAGCTATAAAAGTGGAATAAGCTTCATTACTGGTACACAGTGTGGAAGGCATTAAGAATTGGTAAATTATTCAGTGTTTGGCAAGGAGGAACATCTACTGAATTGCAAAATGACATCCTTCATTCAAAATAAATAAAGGAATGAAGGAAGAATTTGGTACTATTAAATGTCTTTCTGTCCATTTCAGCCTGGATGTAAAAACAGACATTTCCGCTTCTTAATCTGGTTGATGTTTTAATATCTGTATTGCTTTGAGGAAGAGTTGGTCTAAGTCAGGGGTGGGCAGTGTTGGTGGTTTACTTTCTGCTCATGCAAGATTCATCCATAAAATGAAGGCGCCATCCTCAACAGTAAAGCTCATCATAGTTTAGTCTACATTATAATTAGATTCTTGATTGGTGGTTGTGAAGAAAGAATGTTGAAAGCAATGAAAATGGCTGGTTTATAAGACCATACTTCTGCCCATGAAACTGAGATTTGGGTGTGTCGGGAAAAAGATTAAAGTAAGTTGAATTAAAAAGGGATGGATTACATGGTAAAGCAAGAAGAAATAAGATCAAGAATGAATGGGTGCTGAATAAATGTGGACTGATTATGTATTAAAATCAATGGCCAATATAAAATAAATGTATTTGATTTCTACCCTACCTTTTGTTCAGGAGGACAAGGTGGTCCCATAGTCCTTTTTTCTCTTCATTTTTGCCACAGCAGTACGCCTGTGAGGTAGTTTGGACTAAAAGAAAGTGACTGGTCCAGTGACCATCAGTAGCAGAAGTGGACCAAAACCTGGGCCCTCTCAGTCATAATCCACAGAACATTTTACCATGCTGGCTCATTCTACTTCTTTCCCAAGAAAAAAAAGAAAAAGAAAAAGAAAAAAGGGAAAGAAGAGAATGAGCCAGCATGGTAAAATGTTCTGTGGATTATGACTGAGAGGGCCCAGGTTTTGGTCCACTTCTGCTACTGATGGTCACTGGACCAGTCACTTTCCCTTGGGAAAGAAGTAGGAGTTGGCTGAGAGGAAGCAGAAAACTAAGAAAGTCATGACCCTAAGGAGTTAATGAGATCTTCAAAGAGAGGGAAGTCAGAAGTTTAAAGGCAGTGTATGAAAGAGTATATTGATGTGGTAGAAGATGGAATGGTTTGCAAGGATAATTGTGGAGGATAGTGAATGGTGTTGGTGTAAAGTAGATTTAGTTGGATTTTCTTTCCTTTCTCCAGTCTACTGCCTTTAATTTCCTTTGCTTAATGCTTCTTTTTTTTCCTGTGGTTTCCATACCATTGCTTATTCTGAAAGGGAACAGCATGATGACTATGTATATAAATCAAATCCATCAGAAGCCATTACAATCTCTGGGAAACTACTGAATATTTTGCTCCATTTAAAAACTCAGTGGAGATGGACCCAACCCAACTTTTCTACAATTAAACTAAAGCTTCATTCCAGTCTACTTTCTCTGTTGAAGAATAGAAATTACAGCAGGCATGTATAGGAAGAAGCAGACTTTCAGGTATCTTCTCCATCCTTTCTATTATTTATAGCTTTATGAATCAAATTCCATAAGTTGCATTGTGCTTGGAAATGAACCAAAGTCCAGTTGGGTCAAGTACAAATATAGATAGTTTATCTGACTACCCCTTTTTGTGTTCCTGGTTTCCAAAATCTTTTCAGGGACAGACCCACTCAAGAGCACATTTCACTGGCCTAACTAGATCACACTAGAGCAGGTACATCCACCTTCGGTGTTCCTGGGAGAAGAGAAATACTTTGTTCCACATTGTTAAGATACAAACTAGCATAGTAGAGCCTTACTTAACAGCACCTGTGTACATCTGTATGGCTGAGTCATTTGTTAAGCAAATCAGAGACAAATAACATTAAAGGGTTGAGCTCATCTGCTTCAGAAATCTGCAAAAAAATTTCCTTTACGAGTGTAGTGGTGGTGGTGGTGGGTTGTATAAACCGTGACATAGAGTGTTTTTCATATTGTACCTTCCCCACTTGGAACAAAACAGTTATATGTTGGTTGGTTGAGATTTTGTTGGTCAACAGGAAGCTAGTATCTAATCACACTTGTGGATATATTTTCAGACTTTCTATTTCAATATCTTACAGAGGAATTCAAACAGTAATAATATAAAATATATCTTCATTAATACAGTTTTATTCTCCCTGTAAAACTTGGTGTAAACTTTCAGTTCAAGAGATACAGACTCAAGTGAAATCTGAAGTATTGGTGTATAAAGACTTAGCTCAGCCCCACATATACTTTTATTTTTGTCTTTTCTTAATTTTCTCTTCTGTCTGAATTAAGACTTATGGAACACTGATGATGATGATGATGATGATGATGATGATTACTACTACTACTACTACTACTACTACTACTAC